CAACATTTTCTGCATCATTTCTCTGCCGCGCCGCCAAAGAATGGAATGACCTTCCCCATGATGTTGTTTCAATCACCTGTCCATCACGTTTTATTCAAAGTGCATCTGCAATGTTAACCTGTGGCTTTTGTATCTTTGTTGTACAACCCACCCCTTATGTAACACCCCCCCTGTGGGGTCTTTAAGGAAATAAAGTGAAAGTGAAAGTGAAAGTTTCGAGTTAATGCAAGAGCACATTGATAATCACCATAACACAATGGCATACTGTAAATAATATTTATCTAAAAAGTGCAATCCGCTGCTATATAAATTAAAACACAGCCCGCTGACACTGGGCACCCTTCTTATTTACCTATGCAAGAAGCCTCCAGCAATCTCTGGCCACCTGGTTTCGATTTTTCCCAAGCACACTGGTTTCAAATTAACGGTCAGGTATATGCGCAGGAATTGCAAAGCAAAGGTAACTGTAATCCCAGTACAATGTTAAAGGGACACTAAAAGCAAGTACTAAAATGACATTTATTGTTGAATTAGCAGTCTAGAAACCTCGTAGTGTTAGTTTTGTGCCAAGGAAGTGTTTATTTTGAAATATAGTCCGCATTGTGTTAGTGCACTTCAAATCGTCCACCTCAAAGCAGTCTTTCTGATGTCACTGCTGTTGTTCCTAATATTGGCATCATTAGGCACGGCAACAGTGACATCAGAAAGACCCCTTTCAGCAGTCTTCAGCAGTGGCCGCGCAGTAAAAGCGGGCAAGAGTTGCCCGTCTTTATTGCGTGGCACTGACGGTAGCAGCCGCAGATTGAAAGTAGAGAAAGCCACAGCAGCAACGAGGACCATTGTACAATTATTTGCTTGCTTGTTATAGCAGGGCCCCGCTAGATGATACCATCTATTCAGCCTAACCATGCGAAAACAGAACTTTTAAAACACTCGCGTCATTCCCTATAGCAGTCGTTCTCAAATGGGGGTCCGCGAAGTCATTTCTATGATCGGGGAAACCTTCACCCGCATTTTTTTTTTAAGCGTGACTATGCTGCGGATGGATGAACTGTCCAAAATGTAGTGATTTGGCAAGTTTATTTGATGTTTGTTGGTAGCAATAAAAGGTCGGCTTGTGGGAATATTCGAATAATAATCTTCAAACAAATAGTAGAGTATTCGCTTCAATTCAAATTTAAATTATTGAAAATTTCGAAGTATTCGCTATGAACAAATAAATGTATATTAATTCGCTTGTAAAGGTGGTTTTGCTGCAGTGTCAGAGTGCTAAGCCATGAAAGCACCCTTTCAGCGGAAATCCGCTTCGCCGCGAAGCCCTTCTGCAAATTTAAAGGGGCGCTGCAACACTTTTTGAGCATAGTCAGAAAACGCTGCCCATCGGCAGTCCAGGCTTCCAAGAACACGCGAGCCAAATATATGGTGCAGCATGCGGCCTGTGATTCACACTAAATTCTCAAAGCCAGCTGAAAATTGCTCTCTTCTCTCTGGCGAATGACACCATGAGCTCAAAAATCACTCGTCACAGCTATTGCATAAGCCATTAGCTGATTTAACATGGCGTGCTCGGTTATTGCTGGAGCCGCAGCGGGAAATCGCGACGTGTCCAGGCGTGCGGGTGCGATCACACTGAAAAGCCGCATATTTTAAGGAAAAATAGAAAGGAGGGGCTCAAGGTCATGAGGTGCGTGTGACGTTTTTTCTATCGCCGTGCCATTCCTCCCTGATTAGCTTCCAGCTATTTCGTCGGGACGAAAAGAGAGAATTAAATTGCAGCGTGCGACTAATTTTTAAAACTACACCGCTCGTACTGGACTGTTTCTGAAAATTTTGCGGTGGTAAATTTGCGAGGCAACAAGCTTGTTTACTGGCTCCGTGGCTACTTGAAGAAGTGTTGCAGGGCCCTTTAAATGAACTTGGTACCCTCAAATCAATTCATCAATGTTTCGTTGGAACAGTCAATTTATTTGTGCTGACCTCGGAAATAATTGCCGAGATGTGAAACTACTAAACTAATAAATGGGCATAGATGCATAATCATGAGCAAGAAATCGGGACAGAAAAGGAAAACTTTCTGCGAGACATGCTGCATCTGTCTGCGCTTCACCATATCACGTAACCTCACTCCACGGGGACAGGATAGCCTCTAGGGTTATTTTCTTTTGTACCTGAATAACGATACTAGCAGGTGTGACCTTTTTGATAAATATGTATATTTCTAAATTTCAGTCTATTCACTGAATACAAAGCAGCATTGACTTAGTACTTACAGATTGCTCTTTTTTTTTTGTTAGAGAGTTTTTTCTTAAAAGTCTTTTCTTTTTTCGCATAGTTAGTACTGTTTACATTAAAGTGAATACCATCAAAAAGCATATTCCTTGTTATACTGACTCTTACAGTTTATTATAGTAACAATAATTTTATTTAGAGTAGAACTTTCTTTTTTTTACTGGAGTACCTAAAATTTGCCCATATTTTAGTGGACAGGAAAGTGTTAAACAAAGCTAATAATACTCCGAACGCTTTCCTTGGCTTCACGTAGTTGTCTTATTGATCAACGCTCCTTCTTTCATTAAAAAGGACAGCTTTTTCAGGAAAAGTAAATGTAGTTAACTAGGTACATGAACAGACTATTATATGGGATCACGTATGACACCATATTAGGCAAACAAAAAATGAATACAGTAGAATCTCGATAATACAATTACAGTTGATACATATTTTGCGATGGTACAAATGTTAAGGTTCTTTTGGATGGACTACATTATATAAAATACCCCGTGATTTGGTGTTACAGGAAGAATTTCCCCAGCTACCACGAATGATACGAATGTGCGATTGACCTCTGTATGGCAGCGGCACAATGCGGCTTGTCTGCGGGAGGAAGGCCTGTTCACTCTTGACCTTCAAGGGAGTGAATGCAAGAAAACTTGCCGTAATTTTCCTCGCATTAGTGGCTAGAAAAACACGCCGCAAAGCAGACGCGAAAAAATTTGTCCGAGACCAATTTTACTGCCACAGGATAGCATATTGCCTTTTTGCTTCACGGCTTTGGCTTTACCATCTGCTCTATTTCTCAAACCACGTCATGTAAACAACGAGTCGCCAATTCAACATGGTGGCAAAAGCATCGGCGGTGGGTTGCGTTAATGCTATTGCAAACTACCCGCGCAGCACGTCAAAGCTCACGGCCTTGACAAGGATGCAGTTGTTGAGAGCCTGGTTTGGATTACGATCTCTGATAACACCGGAAGCAGAAGAAGGTGCAGCAGCAGCGTGTCAGCTTGCCCGAACGTGTTTTGCTTTTGCACTGCCGGCTGAATCTGTTGCCGCTGTTGTGTGCACTCGTGTCGTTTCGGCTGGCGTGTCTTCCGAAATAACGTTAGTAAAGGTGTAAACTGTTTCTTTTCAATGCCTTGTATGCATAATTATAACTCAGTACGAACTTTAGTGCTCCGGAAAGTGGCAAAATGGAATGGATTCTCAAGCAGCGATGGCGGTGACGGGGGTGGCATGCTTACGAGGGGCAGAAGGAATACGAATGTTTTCGGGGGGCGTGGACGTGGTTTTCCGGTAGTGCCGGCATTTTCGCTCGAATTCTTCAATGGAAATTCTCCAAGGTTCATATTTTTTCGAGCTGGCATCAAGGCGCGATGTTCCGGCTGCTTAAGCAGGAAAGCGAGCGAATTTCCAATGAGTTTGGCCGCTTTCACTTGCTCTGATGTCAACAGTGAACACGCTGCGCCAGCAGTATGAGCTAGGAAACTGCGGCACTTAATTAACGGTGAAGGCAAGGAAGTTCAAAGGCCAGAAAGTTCAAAAGAACATCACAGATTTTTTCAGCAAGGTGTAGTTGCCAATGAAGTTCTTGTTCATCATTTTAACAGCTTTAAGTTGTTTTGGCTCACACCAATTCGGGCTGATACGAATAATTTATGCGCTCCCTTGAAATTCTTATCGCCAAGATTCTACTGTGATGTGAAATTCTTAGGAAAAAAAAGGAAACATTGGTATTGGTTACATAAGGCTAAGCTGGGTCCAGGAGTCGTAGAAAGGCCGTATTAGCCACCTGCAAAAGAGGGCAGTCCGGATTATTACATACTCAAACGGGACGGATACTGTAAAACCACTGTTTCAAATGATGCGTGTACTTCCACTGGACTCTGTTCACGTGTCTAGTGTTGCTGATATAGTGCGTGGAATAATAAAACGTGATGACCCATTCCCATTAAGCACCTTTACGCTACCCGCGCGTTGTACAAGAGCTACAGCGAATCACTGTTTTAATTTACCGGTAGCCAGAAATGCCTACAGTTGAAGGCTCATAGAATTTCACGGCGCTCTCATACGGAATGCGATACCGACTGATGTGAAAGAGGCTAGAAATTTTTCATTGGCCATGAAGCATGCACTTCATGCGAACTTTCTAAATAATGTGTCTGCATAGTCATTTAGTATTATTATTATTATTAGTAGTAGTAGTAGTAGTAGTAGTAGTAGTAGTAGTAGTAGTATTCTAGTGCTATTATTGATCTGTGCTATAAGTAGCTACGTTCTGCGCTATGTTTCTTTGTATACTTCAATCATGTGTTTTTTGCTTTTTTTTTCTATTTTAAACATTGTATCCAGTTTGATGTCCTTTGTCGCTGCGTAACCGCTTGCGCAAGTATGTAGGTATGTCACACAATTGGTCCCTCTACTAGCCAGTTAGGCTATGGGACCAAAGAAGTGTTTGTGAAGTTTTTTGTTACATGGATGTGAAAGTTACAATAAAAAAAATAGGAATAGAAGGTCTTATAAAAGCATGAAAATTCCAGGCATGTATTTCAAAAGACTGTGTTTCTTTCTCTATAACATGTTAGTTTTACTGGGGGTGTCGGTTTCTTTAGGTTACTGCTTACTGCTGCCGAACAATCACTATTTTGCAGTACCTATGTACATTGTTAGGTTTTGCCTGATTTCAATGAAATGAAAACCTGCTTGTGATGCGGCTTGAATAGATGGCGGCAGTGTGTCTCAGCTGAGGAGGTTTCCAGCAATGGAGGAACGGCCAAACGCAGCAGCAGATGAATTCCGGCAACAGGTGGCCACAATGCGAACCATGGGTGGCACAGACTGGCTGAGGCTCTTCAACCGCATGAATCAGCAGGGGCAGGTGAGCACATTGAGGCACTCAAGCAGAGAACTTTTCTCATTTACAATAACACAACTGTCTTCTTCACTGTAACCAGAAAAAAAGAATAGAATAATAGGGAGCTTAGCTGGTTGGTGTGAGTTACGTTCCGTTTTGGTTCCTTCCACTCGCCTCTCGCTTGTTGCGTGACATTTGCTGCTGCCGCCAAGAAAGCCGAAGACGAGAACTTTTCATCTGCTGGCACCTTGAGGAAACGACCGCTCCGACATCATCTGGAATTAGAGACGTTTATTCGTTTCTTTTCTTTTCCCTCTTCACTGTCCCTGCACCCCTGGTTTTATCCCCTGCCTCCCCATTCAACCACTCTTACAGTCCAATCATAACGCACCACTCTTACAGTCCAATCGGAACGCACGGATGTGTCTCTCCTCGCCACAACCTCGAAGACCCACCGCCTCTTGCCCACTCATCGGTTCTCCGTCGTCGCTCAGGTTTCCTTCACACCGGTTCCCGGAATTATCGACGACGGGCGTTGCCAGGTCATGGAAAAGCGCCTCCGAGTAAGTTCCCGCGTTGCCGGGCTGACAGGCCATCAATACAATTGGCCCGTGCTCCGATGCCGTCGCCTCCGCTAATTCTGATTGTCCGGCGGACGCGCACGTGTACCTTCCACGTGTACCGGCCACCTGCAGCCCGGCTTAGTCTCCTGTAAGGCGCCATAATTGAACACCTTGGGGCACGGGAGTTGTCGCGTCCTTTGTGGCCAGCCGACAGTCATCGTCCCGCATTCCGGTGGCCCTGCTTCCTTGTTGGCGAGGGGTCGCCGGCCGCGGGGTGGGTAACATAAGGTATTCGGGCAACGCACGAAGTTCGAGCCCAACACCTCCCCTCCAACTGTGTTGAACTGTATCTATGACATGCGACACAAACACAACCGCATATGCACACATGTTCACTCGCTCGACACGTGAGGCACCAACTGTCACTCGTACCTTGTTGACTCCGTCGCGCGCACGCGCTAACAAAGTATACACCCCCCCTTAACTCGCCGTTACTTTTATGCGTCATCGTTAGGAGCCACTAACCACGACATTGCGTTGGCATTAGCGTTTAGACACCCCTTTTTGTGTTCAATTTCCAGGTTATACTTCTGTAGTGCCAACGCACAGCGTGTCAGCCTAGCACTCTGCGGAGTGGTTAGAGTCAGAAATTTGAGTGGGTTATGATCGGTAATCATCTTGATTTTAGCGCCAAACAGCCAAACATCCAACTTCCCTAGTGCCCAAATGATTGCATAAGCTTCCTTTTCTATTGTAGCCCATCGGGTCTGAGCCGGGCTAAGCTTCTTGCTCAGAAAAGCGATAGGGCGCTCCTTGCCCACCAGATCCTGCTGTGCCAGGCACGCACCAACGGCGTAATCGGATGCATCTGTGCCGAGGATAAATTCTTTCCTCGGATCTGGTGCCTGCAACGCCGACGCCTGCACTAGACAGTTTTTCACCTTGTCAAAAGCTTCCTGCGCCTCTGCATTCCAAGGTAATTTCTGCGGAACACGTCAGCCAGTTAGGTTAGACAGAGGCATAACTCGGGCACGTAGTCCCTATAATAGTTGGCTAGCCCTAAGAAACTACAAAGTTGTCCCTTTGTTTCGGGAGCCGGGATCTCCTTTATCGCCCTGACCTTCTCTGGATCGGCCCCGTGCTTGCCTGATTCCACAATATGCCCCGAAAATTTTACTTCTTGTTGTGCAAACCGACATTTGCTTACGTTGAGCGTCAACCCTGCCTTCGCTAGGGACACAAGTCTTGTCTAAATGTTTCAGAAGCTCGTTGCAGTTCTCGGAGTATATCGCTACATCGTCAATGAAAGCGCAAGCATAATGTCTATGCGGAACCAGTACACTATTGATGACCCTCTGATAGGTACTGGCAGCATTCTTTAACCCAAAGGGCATCACTCTCCATGCGTACTGGCCTGAGGGAGTGGCAAAAGCAGTACGAACCTGCGCGTCCTCGTCGAGAGGTTTTTGTCAGTAACCCCTGAACATGTCTAGCAGAGTTATGTACTTAGCCGTCGCTACTTGGTATAACAGATCAGTCGCCACGCTCATGGGAAATGCGTCTGTCTCTGTTATTTCGTTGAGTCTCCTGTAATCGCAACAGATGCGGATGTCACCGTTCTTCTTTGATACGCAGACCAGTGGATACGCGTGCGGACCTTCAACCGGGTATATCAATCCCCACTGCTGGAGCTCATTTACCTGCCTCTCTACTTCGTTCACCAGCGCCACCGGCACTCTGTATGGGTATGACTACAAAACTGCGCGAAAAATCGACAAGAAACGGAGAAGGCACACACACAAGCGCAGACTAGCAACTGACAGTTTATTGAAAAGAAACACTTATATACCTAAAGAAAAAATATGACGTGAAAGATTAGAAGTTGGCAGTGAGATCTTTCACGTCATATTTTTTCTTTAGGTATATAAGTGTTTCTTTTCAATAAACTGTCAGTTGCTAGTCTGCGCTTGTGTGTGGGCCTTCTCCGTTTCTTGTCGATTTTTCGCGCAGTTTTGTAGTCATGATTTACCAACTCGCCCAGCGTTCAGTACTCTTAAGCTGTATGGGTATGCGCGCCTCGGTTGCTCTCCTGCTTTGATTCGTATTTTATGGATTCCCATTTTGCAGGTGCCGGGTTTGTTTGCGAATACCCTCGGGTGCCTCGCGATTAAGTCTCGCAGCTGTTCTCTCTGTGTGGGCTACAGGTGTGCTACCTCATCGAGCTGCAGCGTTGCCTGCGCCTCTAGCCCGCATGGTGGGTCCGGAACCTCTCCAAATTCCTGATCGCCTTCAAATATCACTCCTACTGCAGTTTCTCGAGCGTGATATGTGCGAAGCTTGTTAGCGTGAATGCTTCTGCGTGAACCGGCCTCGAGCTCAACTAAATAACTGTATGGTCGCAGTTTTGCGACCACTGTGATCGGTTCCTTCCACTTCGCCACTAGCTTCCCCTCTCCTTCTTTCTCGAGCCATAGTACTTGGTCACCTGTGACAAACTGCTTGTCTATGGCCCTCAAGTTATAGCGTCCTACGTACTCCTTCTGAGCGACTTCACTCTGTCGGGCGGCTCCTTCGCTAGCTTCTTCCAAACTACTTCGGAGCTTCGCAAGAAATTCCGCTGCTGGCATACCCAATGAATCCGGCACTTCCCAGCCTCCTGACCAAGTCCTTTTGAGAATGGATAGAGGCCCGTTCGGCACCCGCCCGTACATGAGCTCGAACGGTGACCGCCCTGTAGTCGCATGTGGGACCTCACGATATGCCGATAACAAAAACGGAATCATCCCATCCCACTCGCGTCCATGTTCGCTGACTATGTGAGAAAGCATTCTTTTGAACGTGCCGTTCCAGCGCTCGACTAAGCCGTTGCTTTGCGGGTGATCGGGCGTGGAAAATCTCGGAGTTGCCCTAAGTCTTTGCAACATCTCCTGTGTCAACCTCCACGTAAAGTTGGTGCCCTGATCTGAGCAAATTGTCTCTGGCACCCCGTGTTGAGAAAATATCTGCAGTAACGCGTCACATGTAACCTCTGCCGTTAGTGAACGGAGGCATACCACCTCTGGCCATCTGGTATGTAAGTCTACGACACAAAGAGCATAGCGGTGACCTCTAGCCGAAGTGGGTACCATAGGACCGATGCAGTCCATGTTTACTGTCTGAAACGGCACGCTGGGCATGGCCAGGGGCTTTATCGGAACCTTATCTATCTGCCTCGTCGGCGATTTCACCTTGCATCCATGGCACGACCTACAGTACTCCTTATATCGCGACATATTCGGCCAGTAAAATGAGCTTTTCACTCATTGTAGTGTTTTCCGCTCTCCTAAATGACCTGCCCATGGTGAATCGGGAGCCATTTTCAGCACTTCTTTGTGCCTGTGCGATGGTAGCACTAACTGTTTGCAGATGCGACCCACAGGTGTTCCTGATGATACAATAGCTCGTCTTGAACGAGCATGCCATGCGTTTCGGCCTTTGCCTGCGCCCAAGCATCTCGCACAGCCGGGTCTGCTTCCTGAGCCTCAGGAAACTCCTGTCAGTTTGCTTTTGACCGGCTCGGAACCTTCGCTGTTTCTCTCCGTGGTTATGACGCCTGCCATCACCCATTGCTCCTCGCATGCCTCATCTGACAGCTCTACTATAGCTTCGGTCTCCGCGACTGCTGAACACTCGTCTGACACTATGTCACGTTTAACCCTTTCCTCGAGAAGCTGTGCGTAATCGTTGGGCGTTATCAGCGCGTCGGTGCCGTCTAGCAGCTTATCTGTGATTGCACTAAGCACGGCCGACTGCACCGCCTCGGACATCACGTAAGGACTTCCTTCAGTAGCTATGAGCGGCACGTAAGCCAACTCAGCGGTTACCTGTTGCCCGAACGCTCCCGTCAACTTTATCTGCGAACCCGTACCATCAAACTGAGGTACCACTGCCTTTCTGATGACGCTCACCTCCGCTCCTGAGTCTACCACAGCGTTTAACGATCGACCTGAGCTCTTAAGAGTTAGAGTTTCCAGTGAGGGTTGTTTCTGCTCTTTAGGCTGCCACAACCCGTCTGTCATTGCTATTTCTGACTTGAATTCAGAAGCCATCACCCTCGCGACCACTGGACCGTTTTGTTGTCCTGCTGGCCTAGTGCCTTGCCTTGCACCTGAGCCCTTATTGGGGCAATTCCTGGCAATGTGGTCGGCACCCTTACACTCAAAACATCGCCTTTTCCCTTTCCCGTCCGTGGGTGTATCTACCGCTGTTTTAGCTTTCTTTTGCCACTTCTCTACATTTGCCTTCTTTTGTGCTGCTTTGCACTTTTCGCTCTCCTCGAATCTCTCCGCGAGCCTAGCCACGCCACTGGGCAGCAAAAATGACTCCTGTTTATTACAAATGACATGCGCTCTCGCTTCCGGGCTCAAACATTCTTTCAAGCGATCCGCGACGACTAGCTGCTTGAGTTCCTCGAACGTGCTT